GGTTCCTGACATCATGTGAAAGACTAGGATGGAGTTCCTGCCTCCTGACTTTGGCCTGGGCAAGCCCTGGTAATTGTGGACTTTTGGGGAGTGAACCAGTGATGAAAGATCTCTCTCTCTCTCTCTTTCTCTTTCTCTCTACTTTTCAAATAAATAAATACATACATAAATTACAAAAAAAGATCCAGGGGCCAGCACTGTGGCATAGCAGGTAAAGCTGCCACCTGCAGTGTCCGCATCCCATATGGGCACTGGTTGAAGTCCCGGCTGCTCCACTTCTGATCCAGCACTCTGCTCTGGCCTGGGAAAGCAGTAGAAGATGGCCCAAGGCCTTGGGCCCCTGCACCAGCATGGGAGACCTGGAAGAAGCTCCTGGCTCTTGGCTTCAGATCAGTGCAGCTCCGGCCATTGTGGTCAATTGTGGAGTGAACCAACGGATGAAAGACCTCTCTCTCTCTCTGTCTCTCTCTGCCTCTCCTTCTCTCTGTGTAACTCTGACTTTCAAATAAACAAATAAATCTTAAAAAAATAAGATCCTCCAAGGAGTGAACAGGAGAAAAATAAATTCTGACACCATGAAGGGCGTTCATATATGCAACACACGCATATCCAAGGTCATGGATGAAGAGAGTAACTCTGCGTAAATGTGGGAGAGTGGTAAGATTATAACGGTGCTTTTTGTTTTTATTTTCTTCTATTTGTTGAATTCTTCAGTTAGTGGAGGGCTAAGCTTATGTTTATAAAATAAACTGAAAGTATGCCATTATAAAAATTGAAAGAAGGAATAAGAAAGGAAGGAGGAGGGAGGGTGGAAGGAGCTTTGGTGAGCGGGAGAGTAGGGTGGGAAGGATCACTATGCTCCTAAATCTGTATATCTGAAATACAAGAAATCTGTGCATCTGATATAAATAAAAAATATTTAAAAAACCCAAGTTTATAAAACAAAAGCAAGCTTAAAATAATCTACTTCACTTTTGGTAACAAAGTGCTTGTGATACACCTCATATATATCAGTGTTATGCTGTGTGCGGGGTCAAGAAACCATGCCGCAAATTAATGCTTAAGAGCGAATTCTGATAGGAGGTGACAGTTGCTCCAGAAAGATCTCCAGATCACTTTCATCATTTTGGTTATTCTTGTCTAGAGTATCAGTAAGTTAGTGCTAATGTCTTAAGACATTTATCCATCCTGAAGAACAAATTGACATTTTAACTGAGATCTTTGGGACCCCAATGTCAAGGTCTAAAGAAGTGATTGTTGCTCTGGGATTTTCAGACCAGGGTTCTTTTGCTCAGCCTCCTAGGCATCTCCCTACTTCTTCTCTACCCAGTGCCTGCCTTTCAAGTTGCATTAGTCATGCATGGCCTCACGGTGGCTCCTTTTAGAGTCTGTGCACTCCAGCTAGCCAACAGCCCTTGAAATGAAGGTCTGGTAACCCTATATTCATCTGTCCCTCTGGGTTTCAGGCAATCTGTCAAGGATGTATTCATGTGTGCTACAGGTCAGCACAGCTGGAGTCAATACCGATATATGTTCACAACAGGCCCAGGTTACTCTTTAGATGCAGACAGTTGATTAAGGGTGAGGGAAATTGAAGGCTGAAGCAGGGTGGTAGCAGTGGGAGGGGAGCCATGTTTCAAGAAGAAAATAAAACCCCAGGCTACTGCAAGGAAGGGTATCAGGGAGTGCAAAAATGAGGAAAAAGTGACGGAATTGGTTGTGAGCCTGGGCCACTAGAGGCCTGGGAATTGGTTCTTATGCTTGCCCCATGGTTCAGGTAGATTTGGAGAGGTGTTGCTAGGCCCCAAAGGCCTTTGATCTAAGTCAGCAAGGGCTCTGACAAGAAGTTAACTTAAGAAGTTAGGGTCAGATAAAGAAAAATGGGAAGGAAGGAGAGGAATGGTCCCAACTACATGGTAAAAAGGATTTGGTAATGAATAGGCCAGCTCCCCCCACCCCCACCCCAAAGAAGGCCTCCATATAAAGAGTTTAAAGACAACTCCACTTTTACAATTTCTGTTGTTGAAGTGTTCTTGTCCATTTTGCCTCAGTGGCCTGGCACTTTCTCAGCCAGGGCTGTAGTTCTCAGGGTTTTCGCTGTGTGACTGGGGTTACACACAATGGCAAACACTGAGATGCTTTAACAACACTGTTCTAGCAGTCTCTTTTCTTTGTTTCTGCAGAAAAAATTATGCATACTGTCAGAGACCAAGTACCCCCAAATCACTACTCAGGAACTTTTCCAAAAGCTGTCTCCTAAGCTCTCTTCTTTCACACCACCAGCAGAGTGCTCTAGGCCTCAGCATCTCTCACCCGGATGACTGAAGTCGTTTCCTAATTTGCCTCCTCTCACTCATCGTGCCTCCTCTATCACATCCTTTATACTGCAGCTAGAGGGATCTTGCTAAAATACAACACTGGGTAAATCACAACTCTGCTTAAAACCCTTCACTTGTTTCTCTGACGATGAAATCCAATCTCCTTAACATGGACTACAGCAGTACTCTTCAATTTTTTTGTCTGTTCCTCATAATAAGAAATGCATTTTTGCATCACAATTCAATATCCCACACTCATAACTGAAATGAACATTTCACAAAAATACTTATTCTTGTTGCCTGTGATGTATTCTGAGATTTTTCTATTCAACTCTGAATACCAACGGCCAGCAAACCTTTTCAGTAATGGGTCAGATAGTGAATATTTGCACTTTGTGGACCATATGGTCTGTATTGTCTGTATTGCAATTATTACACTCTCCTCTCTCATTGTAGTTGCACACACCAGTGCTTTTGTTTTCAACTCCAGGGACTTTTTGCATCCTTTAGACAAAGATCCCCTGGTTTTCAGTGTGCAGAGTAGCCCTCCTCTACTGGAGGTGGTGAATGTTCTAATTAGGGACATTGAAGTGTCACGCAATGCCTTACTTATGGGCCCACATTATGAGCAACTCCACACCAACATCACCTTGATACCTCTTATCTTTACATTCCTTCCCATAGAAGCAAAAATGAAGTATTTATTCAATCTTGATTGGCAAGCCATGATCTAGAAAATAATTTTCCCAATCATTATAAAGGGTAAAAAAAAATCAAGATCAAAAGTCTCAAAACAAATTCTTGCTCTTCCTTTTTCTCAATACAAATGGTTCTCAAAATTCTTAGAAATCTGCATTGTTTTAGAATTCCATTTTCCAATAATTTTAACACATTTTGTTTATTTATTTACTTGAAAGGGAGAGGGGGAGGAAGTGGGAGAGAGAGAAAGAGAAAGGGAGATCTTCCATCCATTGGTTCACTCCTCAAGTGGCCACTACTGCCAGGGCTGGGCCAGGCTGAAGCCAGGATGGAGGAACTGCATCCAAGTCTCTCACGTGAGTGGCAGGAACTGAGTACTTTGAACGTTCCTATGCTGTGGGATGATGGCCCAGAAGCAGAGACAGGACTCAATACAGGGCACATTAATATAGAATGTGGGGGACCCAAGTGGCTGCGTAACCTGCTGCACCACAATGCTGACATTTCCAAGAAGTTTTTGAAGCGCTGTCTTGTATATAATGCTTTTTTGTGTATATGTAAATAAGTGAATATAAACATATATAGCAAGTAAAGCACAATTTAACATAAATTCAATTTCTATGCCCACTTTACCAAGGAACCTTTTCAAAGAACACCACTCCGAGAAACACATCAGCCTGACATTTTCATACGGTACTACACCTTACACATTTGAGGAAGAATATTGCAGCTAGAATCTTTGTAGTTTTTGCTACAATCTCTTTTTCTGACTCTTCTCATTTTGATCATCAGCATCATACCTGAGAAGTGGAACCAATTATTTTCCTCTTCAGCTCAACTCTGTCTTCAAGTATAAGTCCCTCTCTGACCTTCCCAAGGAAGCTAGCTGTGCCTACCCTCCTTCCACTCTGAGTCTCCTATGCCAAAACTCTACCCCTGGGCCCTCAGCCGCTTTGAGGGG